GTAAAATCATTTGAATAAAAGTACCTGAACATCGATAGAACCGTTTTAGTATAAGTTAAATAGCGTGTTCCCAGGAACAGCCTTTGAGGCACTTCTGCTAAAGAGAATTCCCTATTTTCTAAATTAAACAACAAACTCATAGCCCGTGAAGATTTTCATAATAATTATGAAGTAAATAGCATACGAAGAACAACAAAAATTTACTGTTTCAAACTTTTATTACCTGCATAGTGCAACTTTATTGTGGACTTGAATACCATCGTACTCATGAATAACCCTTGGGTTACTGCCTTCTTTCAATGGAGAAGCAGCCTTATGTTACACAGATTTTACCATCTTTTATTCATTTTATTTATAAATATCTGGAACTTCTTTAAGATTTTGTTTGAATTGTTCGAGTTGAATAGCACACATGGAACTAATAACTCTTACACGGTTTTCAACTGCAATAATTTGCTTTATTAGGTTATATTGATTAATGAATAAATAACGTGGCAACAAGGAATAACACTTTATCATGTTTTAAGTCCTATTCTATTTTCTATATAAATCTTCAATAAAAATTAGAACCAATTGTCCCTAATTTTAGATTGAAGTTATGCTGTGTTTCAGCTTGCTCTAGCTTTCTAAGTGTTGGAATGACTTTTCCACTCGAGTTCAAACTTTTCAAAAGGTGGAATTAGATGGACGATATAACAATTTTGTAATTTTAGCATGATATTGTAAAAGCAGTCTTTTTCCTTACTTTGACAGGATGGAACTTATTATTAAAGTAATATAACTGCTGAATTGAAAGTAGAAATTGCAGAAGTGTTCCGGAGGCTTGGAAAGCATGAAGTCCGTCCTCCTACAATTCTCCGGATCGGAATTTAAAGAAATTTGAAACTCTTTGAAAGAGGATTAAGTTTTCTCCTCCTGTACGTAGACAGACGTTGGCTATCTCAACAGTTGGATTTATTTCGCGCTGCTGGATTTAATTAGATAAGCGAGTCGGGCAAGGACGTTAATTTATATCGCAGTCCTTATCGTTCCGATCTACCTCCCGGTGTCGGGTATCGCGGTGCTCCGGCCGGCCTCGCTTTTCTCCTAAGGCAACAGAACGAAATTATCGGAATAAATCACGTACGTCGCGGGGATACGCGGTTGAAATGGAGAGGCCGGGGATCCATCCGTCTCGAAATAGAACGGCCTTGCCTCTGAAAAAAGGTTTTCTACATTATAGGAAAATTATTATTAGGACGGTTTTGAGGTCAACTTGACCCTATTCTCAGTTTTCACAAAAAGTCCTATTTTTTAAAAGGCTTCGCACAAACTAGTGACAAAACGAGAAACATGGTATTAAGAAAGATGGTTGTTGCCCCTTGGTTCGGATACAGATATTATCGGGACCAGAGGATATCAGACATTTTTACCATATGCCGGCGAAATGCCCAAAGCATAAATCTTTTCCAAGAAGGTAATGGAGAGGGCTTGACCAGTAGGAATGGGTTGAAAGATTGGAGTGAAACTTTGAGAAAGCAGTTTCAATTGTTTAACGAAGGCTAATATCAGGTGGAGTGAGCAAGAAACGTTGTGTACAAGCGTGGAAAATTCTTCTTAGGACTCTTAGAATGCTTGGATTAGTTTGATATTAGTCAGCTTGGTGGTACTCCACAACTTCGTTTCGTATGTGCAAATAGGTCGGAGTAACGTTTATAGAGTATTAGTTTATTATCTGCCGTAAATTCCTAGCAGTTTTCGTAGTTGCCTGTTTAGACCTTGTTATTGAGTCTTGTGTGTGGATTCCATGCCATTCTACTGTATAAGTAAACCAAGGTATTTAACCTGTATAGATGTCGATTTTTTTTGTGCAATAAACTTGTAAATCCATATAAATTACCGCACCTTACTTTGAAGCAGCTATGATTTTAGGATTGATAATAAGGAGCCAGAATGCTTTAGTTTGAAGAGAGTCCCAATGCCAAAAGCTCGAGACATGTCTAAGAACACATCCTAGCAGTACTGTCTTCGTTTATGTTCTCTAATGCAGAGGAAATGTCATCAACCTGAAGCCTTGGTAAATCGTGGAATGACGTGTACTGTTTTTGTTCTTAAGTGGCAGTCAATAGTTAGTTTGTAGTTAGTTGTCGTTTTTTCTCATCCACTGCAATATCTCTGCAATGTAGGTGTTTATTCTACCAGTTCCCACATAGTGTCTACTGGTTTTTAGTAATAAGTAGCATTTAATATGCAAAAAATTGTATATAATTCCCCAATAATAAGACCGAAAACTTGGCTAAATGTATTTTTCGTTCTTAACTTAAGAATCCATGATTTACGAAGCTCTCCTTAAGTCCCACTTGCAATTAACCATTTCTTTTTAAGAATCGTCAATAATGAATATGTACACGATGGCTGTCTATGAGTCTTATTTTCCCATTTTTAGCAAGGAGTCCAAGAGAGCACTTTTAACAAAAAGCTTTTGTACAATATGATAGTCAGATCTAAGCTACTTTACGCAGCTCCAGAATGGAGTCTCACCAGTATTATCTTCATTAGGATGTTACAGGTTCAACACATATTTCTAAGGTCCATCACTAACAACCCCAAGATGGACTAAAGTGGATAATTGCACCTGGGGACGAGGCTGAAAACGATAAAGTCCGAGGTACGATACAGATACATCGTTCTTCAATAAATGCCTATATGACCGATTGAATTCCTCGACGTTTTGCCATCGAGAAAAAAAATCTCTTGACTTGCATTTAGAATTTGGTAAAAGCGATACTGTACAGAAATCGACTTTGGATTCTTCTATCCTTCTAAAAAAAGTGAATATCTTTAAACTTGATATTATCATCATAGAAAATAATTAGCCAATACTTAAACTGACACGTTGTTCGTTCTACGCAAATGTTCTGAAGGAAAAACTTCGGCGTTGTATGATAGATCTGCAGATAAAGAGAAATGAGCACGCAGACGCGCTTCGTTAGAGTTTGCGAATTAAAAAAAAAAAAAGCCTGTATCTTTTGTGGTCCTCTTGTACAAATCAGCGTTTTAGAAAATAACTTTTGTTTATTGTTTATGTTAACAAGTGTATTTCTCAAAACGTTTGTCTTGGCTTTGTTGGAACCGCTACAGTCCGTGTTCAAAGCCGTTTAACCCAATTCCCCAGGAGGTAAACAACCCCGGTGAATAAATAAACAAATTCCGTTGAAAAATACGAGGACGGTCATGGAGGGCCTTCCCTCTTAGGTAATTGAAACCGTTTCAGATTTCCTTCTACTCCGTGAAAACCGAAACTCCGTTTGCAACTCAACTCTGGACTATGTAACCGGAGAGGGTGAGTCGTTTCTTCGCAAACTGCTAACGACTGAAAAATCATACACAAACACTGGCCACATCTCACAAAATAAACACACACAACTCACATTCTAACAATTCAAACGAAAGCCCGGCCTGAAGATTTCTCACGTGCAAAAAAATTTAAATTTAAATTGAAGACCCACAATGCAATCCATATAATCTCTACACTGCCCCTAACCCAAATCTACCCCTTTTACGCTGATGATGATTAATTTTTCTCCTTCTTATTTAATTTAGTACCCTTTAATTAATTGATTTTTATGCTATTACATTTAAATCTTTATTTATATATTCATTTGGACACAAATTGTGCCAAACTTTATACTTTTTGTAAAGTATAAAAAGAAAAACAAAACAGAGAATTATTTGGATAGAGCAAAAGTTTTCCCCCCTACCAAACATGTTCAATTTAGAACCTGGCAGAGTAAGAAAAAGCACCTGCTGGGGAATTGAATACTGGGCAAATATTTTTAAAAGGGGCTCGAGTTTAGTTTGTTTACCATTAAGCGCTCCATTCACAATTTTCTAATAGATATTTTGTTTGTTTACAAGTGATTATAAAAACTATTGAGCTTTTTTCCTTAAATATATAACGATAAAGAAAATGTTTTTCTGAAACCTACATCACACCAGACCGCATCTCACGATTTCTGAATAATTATCGATTAACAGTCACTAATCACCACACACTTAAATATATATCATGTTCATATTACCGACTCTGGGGGTATGGGGGTTGAGGGTGGGTGAAAGTATTTGACTAAGCTGGTTTTATTAGGACTTTGAAACAAGCCTACAGCTTATTCCATTCTAATTTTGGAGTGCCATAGAAAATAGTGACATATCCGAAGACAATCTTATGCTGGTTTTATCTGTGGGTTTGAAAATTTGTGTGTGAATGTCTGTATGAATTGTCAATGACAGTTTACTGCTTTTTCTTTAATAAATATTCACATATCCCAAAACTGAGTTTGTTGTAGTTGAGGTTAAGTGTGTCTATTAGTCTATGTTGGTTTTGTCAGTGAGTTTGTAAATTTGTTGGTATGTGAATAAATATTTTATTTTAGTGATTGTCAATACCAGTGAATTGTTTTCTTTTAAATAAATATTATCCTTATATTAGCATATCCCAAAACTGAGTGTATGGTAGTTGAGGGTGGGTGTGTGTATTTGTCTATACTGGTTTTGTCGAAAGGTTTGTGAATTTTGTGTATGCAAATTATTTTATCGTTTTTAAATATTTTTTAATGATTGTCAATGCCAGTAAACTGTGTTTTGTTTGTGCAGACATCCATCTGTATGTGTGTGTATGTACTGTTTGCAGGTTGGTGTTAGTAATTGTTTTTCGATTGGTGTGTCAGTTTGCATACATGTTGGGTGAATTTGTGTATTAATTACATACTTGCAGCTATTGGTGGTTATGAAAATTACTCATTTTTTTAATTGAACACAATAGATCTTTTCAGGTTGAGGTACAGTAGGCCTTGTGGCCGCCTCTTTTATCCCTATCCCATTTTTTAATTGACATTATTGTTTAATAACAATGTAAACATATTTTTCTGATTTCTGACATCCAAGATCTTCTCTAACAATGATACTAATACTAATTATATTTTGAAAATTATTATTAATTTTCATTTTCTGTATTTTTTCAGTACCATCTGGATGCATGTGCTGTGCGTGGTGCCAAAAGGTGGGAAATGCAAAACAGTTCAACTTCAAAACACCAAGTGGGAACAAGGTGTTTTGTTCCGAACAGTGTTTTACGCAATGCAGGAGAGCCAACTTCAAAAGGAATAAGACATGCGACTGGTGCAAGCACGTCCGACACACGGTCAATTATGTCGATTTCCAAGATGGAGATCACCAGCTGCAATTCTGCAGGTAACAGAATAGTCCTTGTTGAAATTAATTAATTTTTTAACACTGTTTTTTCTTTCTTCTAGCGACAAATGCTTGAATCAATACAAGATGAATATATTCTGCAAGGAAACACAAGCGCATCTTGAATTGCATCCACATTTGCAGGAGGCGTCAGCTCCAAGTGGGTCAGAAAAGAGTGGAACCAATTTAATAACACCTGATCTTTGGTTAAGGGATTGCAGATCACAATCACCCGAGACTGACAAGTCTCTGTCACCAGCTCCAAGATTGACATCACCCCTTATAGAAATCAAACTGCCACCATCGAGTCCACAACATGAAAAAGACAAGAGAATCAAAGAAATCCCAAAGAAAAGGTGCATGAAAAGAAAAGTTCAGGAGAGAGCAAGCTCTTTATCACCAAGGAGTAACAGTGCTTCACCGCCAAAATTCCATCCTCATGTTCCGTTACAGATGCATCCTCCGTTCATCCATGACAGGCAATATTTCTTACCTCCTGGCTTGATCCCTCCTCCTCATTTCTTTCACGATAGGTTCCCGACTCAGCCTATCCCGAGGAAAATGAACAACAATAATATCCCACCACTTTTGCCAATTTCAAGACCTTTACAACCACCTTTGTTCAGGCCTTCATCTCTAGTACCTCCCCCAACTACTATTGTACCTTATCCGATTTTCCTACCTATCCCCATACCCATACCCATCCCAATCCCTATCCCTGGGCTGAAACTGTCTGATCTCTCCAGTCCCACGAACCCAACCTCATCTGAAGAATCCAACAACAATTCAGAAGTAAACGACAAAAAATCGGTGACTCCGCCTCGGAAGAAGAACAGGATCACCGAAGACAACGAAACCCTCAACGAGCCAAAGACTGTTCACGCCTAACCACATGAAAGATGTTCAAAACATCGAACGTGTAGATAAAGTGTACAAATAAAATTAAACAGTAGTTTGTGTCTATTGACATTATTGTATAGATAATTGCACTTGATCTCTTAGCTGATAGTTATCAGTTTTTATTTCAAGATTTTTACTAGCATTCTATTTTTTATATTTAGAAATCAAGATAATTGTGTTTAATCTTTGTTTTGTAATATTTAGAATGGTGCTGTTTTTCGCTCTCTTTTTGTTAATGAACTAAAAATGCACATTGAAATGTTCAAGTTTCCTTATAATTTTTATTATTAAATGTTTTTCTTAAACAAGTCTGCATTCACTATCATAAATCTGCCTAAACTTTAATCACAAGTAACTGAACAATGAAAACTGATAAGTTTAATTAATAAAAATAATAAGTTGACATGGTGAATGTTACATCACATTAAAAAATTAACATGTAACATGATTTTAAAATGGATCAACCATTTAAAATATGTATACTATTAAGAACCCTTCAATAATATTCATATGACATAGTTACAACATTATCATTTCAACAAAAGTGAATTGCCGACTATTATATGACCTCTCCATTTTCATTATTTTATTGTCCTTCTTTTAATTCTCAAGTGGGGGAGCCGGTCAATAGGGAGGATTTGCATGAGTGGTAATCTAATCCAGGCCCACTAATGACAACTGCCTGTGAAAACTGATCATCGTGAAAGGGTTGAAATAAGATCTGTTTTTATATTAAATTGTCAAATGATATGCCCTTTTGAGTTTTTGGAATAAACTGGAATAAAGCGGATGCTTTTTAATTAATTTTGGACGAGTTTTACAAATACTCCGAAAATGTTGTAAATGACTCTTTTAACTACAGTTTGGTTATATAATTCTTAAATTGTTTTAAAAAAAATAAATAAAAATATTTTTTTTAACAATTTAAGAATTACATGGTATGGTATAAGATACCATGCGATATAATTCTTAAATTGTTTAAAAAAATAAATAAATAAAAATAATTTTTTTAACAATTTAAGAATTATATGGTATGGTAATAAGATACCATTCCATATAATTCTTACATTGTTTAAAAAATAAATAAATACAGTTCAATAATAAAAAAATAGTATAGTATGAACGGAAAATTGGTCCATTTTATTTCAGGAAACACAGTAATTTGGTGAGTAGTCAAAACATAAAAAACATAAACAAGAAACAATCTTGTAAATTAAATATTACCTATTAAAATATAAATTATTTTCTTTATTGCTTATTATTCATTTTGTCCTGTTCCATTCATTGGTCAACCAGATCACGGTCCATCTACATGTAATTAGCAAAAACAAGATACAATTGACAAAATAACAAACCAACAAACCACCAAATATGCAAAAAGTCTTTGACAGAAACAACCAACAAAAGACAGAACCGAATGGTAAGATGGTGTAACTACAATAGTTTCCAATACTATCACCAAGATATTTTTTAATTTGACCCTAATTTTTGTAATTATTCAACTACACAAAAAATCATACTCAACTTAGTATAGTATGGAAATAAATGTAATAATATATTATACCAACTAGACTAGAGCTGCGTATACCTGCAGGGGTACAGATAGAAGAAAACTATACAGATATTGCCAGGAAGAAGAGGACACCACAGAACACATTTTGTTTTTGTGAAGGTGCAGATTCTTGTAATTAGAACATGAAAAGCCGCAAGCGAGGGGAGCACAGTCAATCTACTCAGGTCGAGGTGGTTTGTGACCATCTTTTATCCCTATCCCTAAAGAAGAAAGCAAATTCAGATGTTACTGCCAAGGTTTCGACATATTTTAAGGTCATCATCAAGGCAAAACTATCTTAAATATGTCTACAGTTTGACATATTTAAGTTTTTTTTTTTATAGATGATCTTAAATTTCCTTGAAGACCGACTCAGTCCCAACATTGCCAAGGACTGTAACAGTGGAACTGAGTTGTTGATGACTTGATGATGACTTTAAACTAGATTGAAAGCTTGGCAGTAACAAATGAATTTGCTTTCTTCTTCAAGACCAAAACCTTGGTCCAGAGGGTTTGTGAGCGTGTATAATAACTGGAGATTCTTTACTTAGTTGTAGAGTACTTTCCTAGTTGCAAAATATTGTTTACTTTTTAATTTTCCATTTTTTAAAACAATAATTAACCAAATAAGATCAAATTATGCACAAGTTATGATGTAAAACTGAATATATTCGTTGGCACCTTCACAAAAATATAAAATTTTCTCTTCTCTCCTCTCTCCTCTTCTTCCTGGCAATATCTGTACAGTGTTTCTTCTGTCTCTGTACTCCAGCAGGTATATGCAGCTCTAGACTGGTTGGTATAATATAAATAATTAGTGTTTCTTTCATTATGGACTTTCTTCCTAACAGAATGGTAGCTAAGAATAGGTTTGGAGAGAAAAAAAGAAAAGAAAAAAAAGCTAATTGTTCAAAAGCAATGTTTCTAAATGATCTTACATTTATTCTTAATTTTTACCAATTTCATCTTTATGCTGTCTTTCAGCTTTATATTCAATGTTACATTCAATGCAAGGCCATTTGAGCTCTATTATTAAAAATATCTACTCAAACCTCTATCCTCTTTGATGCCTTAGCTTTTTCACTCTACAGAAAACTAGAGTTCTCCTTATTAAATCCCTAATAATTTCTTTATTCTCTTACTATAGCACTATTTTTCACTTTCCTTAGACTCTCAACCTGCTCATCACCTTCAAATTGCTTATCATTCCAGCATTGGATGATGCTGCTATGATCTTAATCAAAGGGATTATATTTCATCCTATACTAACTTCTTCAGCAAACTTAACATTCTAAATTAACTATTTAAATCAAATAAATTTCCTCAATATCTATCAACAATTTTCCCTCATTCCTTATCCAAATGCAAACATCGTAAGCCTTCAATGCTCCTGTAAACCTTAAGGCCTAGTTCATACATAGGCAATTGGTATGAGAGATGCATATACAATACTGGTAAGAGATAAAAAAAAGCCTCCCCTCCATCTCTTTTTGATCCACTCCCAAGCTGTTTAAAACTTAAAATGTTTGATTCTGCCACATTTTTATATGACACCATGTTGCACAATGTCCAGTAAGTCGCCTTCATACATAAAAGTAGCAATCTACCATCCCAAGCGACTAAAAAAGCTACCTCACGCCAGTCGCCTGCCAGTCTCCCTGTCTGAATGACCATTCCTACGTAACATTGGTCTCCTCGATACCAATCGCCTCCGTGTGAAAAAGGCCTTAGCCTTATACTTCAGAATTGAAATGACAAGACTATGTAATTTGATTCCCCGGGAAGTACGTTCTGTTTCCTCACTGGCATGTTTCAGGCCCATGGCATCTGAATTTTTAAAAAACGACATGAATCATCTCCTTTTCTTTTCCCCGTTTCCTTTTTTTCTCTTTCTGCTTTTCTTTCATAATTTTCATCAGTTTCATCATTCGATTATAAATAATTACATATTTTAAAGAATATATTATCGCCATTATTGTATTGTATAGTTTATCATTATTATTTTACTATGTTTATTAAACTTAAGTTATCTCTAATACAAGTACATATAAGGGTCTCAAAGCCCCATTTGTAGCTTTAAAATAAATAAATTATGTCTTAACAAAAAATGTAAAATACAGAAAAGATATAAATAACTTTTACATACATTTTTTTAGAGAAATGTTTCAGTGCTTTTCATAAAAAAAAACTCGTTCCTTCTCGTCCTGAAGTTCAAAAGGAAGAGAGACACGCCAAAAAACGTCCGTTGGTCGTTTCCTTTTTCATCCGCTAGAGGGCGTTGGTAAGATTTTTTTTATGCTATGATTTAAATGTCCAATTATAAAGTTAACATAATGAATAAAATACTGTTAATTATGGTTTTATTTTATATTTCTAGATGGTAATTTAAAAAATGTCTTTTCAACCACGTGCTGATTGATGGAAATCAATGGAAGTGGAGTATATCGGAAAGACAGAATATAAAAAGAAACGATTTATTTTAATACTGCCATAGATTTTTTTATTTGCATTTAAAATGTTTTTAATTAAATTAGGATTTTTTACGAATACGAAGTGAAACTTGTAATTTATGATGGCATGGCCGGACATCGATCTAGGCGGTGGTGATACAGTGGGCACCAGTACGACCATCGAACCTTTTTCGCGTTCCTGCTAGGCTATTGGGACAACATGGTGAGTACTTTCATTTTAGACAATTTTTATTCATAATCATCCGTGTTTTTAAACGGCCGAACAATTTTCCCCGGACGCCACCAAACCGACTTAGCTTTTCTTTCACCGGGGAAATACTTTTTCCGAGTTTTCGCGGTCCTCGTTGCCAGTTCGGACATGTGTTTACTGACACCGTGGAAGACGGACGGGAACCCCGGACACGTACCTTGTTAATACTAGCAATTTTAATATTCATAGCGGAAAATTGTTAAAAAGTCCATTTATCGCTAAAAACATTTATATTGATCGATTTCATTGTTTGGCCCAATAGGAACTATAGGTGTAGTCTTCATCAAATCTCATCATTTCATAAAAAACACTGGATCAAGGTATTGTCTTGAAGAAGAAAGTAAATTCAGTTTTTACTGCCAAGCTTCATCCTATTTTAAGGCCATCATCAGGGCAAAACAATCTTAATATACTACCTTCTTCAAGACCACACCTTGGCCCAGAGTGTTCGTGATTGAAAAAGTAGTTGATACTTCTAATACTGGTAAAAAAAAAGATAATGGATTGAGCATTTAAATTTTTTCAGAGGTTCATAACAAGAGATTAACGTATGTTCGCCCATACATTGTGGGAACAATACAAAAAATTACTTTCAAAAGTGTTATATTTTTTTCTATTTTTTTACGAGGGTATTTCAACTACCATGTTGCACGAACCCTTGAAGTGTCAGTGTTTTTGAAAAAAAGCCTGTTGGTAAGTACCTCGGCTTTGAATAAAGGGCTATTGGATTCGAGCCCGGGTTCGTTTACCTTACAAGCGGGGCTTCCCAAACTGTGGTCCGCAGCGAACTTTGAGAAAAAGTAATAATTACAAAAATAAAATTAAAATCTAATAATGAGTACTGAAAACAAAAGTTTTTATTTTGTGGCAACTGTCATTGTATTCTCCACAGACATGTTTTAGCTAAGAAATAAATGGCAGCCTCTTTCAAGAAAGTTTTGTAAGAGTCTCTTTAAATTATTATATTGAAATCAAGAATTTTTCGCTACTGTGTGTTGATACAGGAAACGTTCATCATTCCTAGGTTCACCATACAGAAGTCAGGTTGTCTCATGTGAAAGCACTTTAATGATTACAGGAATTAAGTTTTGTTGTCTTATCTTGTTGATGGACCGCAATATCAAATTGGCCAATGTTTTCAATGATGAGAAATGGCAATGTATACTGTCATATAAGATATTTTCATTAAATTGAATGAGTCTTTCTTTGCATGAGAACAGTATCACAATTTTTGATGCTAATGACAAAGTACACACCTCACAAGAAAAATCCAGTTTTGGGTTAAATCTGCTGAGAAGGAATAGGTGGAGTACAATGTACAATACAAAAGAAAAACAGCTTACGAACAGCACGTTGATTGATGAAATATGTGAACACCTTCTAAGTTCATGTCCTTTGTGCACTATTCCCAACAGCATGAGGTACAATGCTAAAAGACCATGAATAGGTCGTCAAATCTTTTCAATTTTGACAAAGCCAACCAGTCCATCTTCAAGTAAATGTGAATTCTGATAGACATTACTTCAGACTCCAGCTTGAAATCTACTTTTGAGCCTGAACTTACCCCCATTTTTCACTCTGTTTGGAAAACAAAAAATTTCAACTGCTTGCCGAAAAAGCAAAATGTGTTCTTCCATTTGCCACGACTTACCATGCGAATCAGGATTTTCTATCTCTACAGCCACCAAAACTAAATACTGAAACTGTCTTAGATGCTGAACCTGACATCAACCCCCATCTATCAAAAATTAAACTAAGCTAAACAACCTCACTCTTCCTATTAATTTGTTAATCATTAATGTTGGTATTAATACTTTTAAAATTGGCTCAAGTTTTACATCCCTGTTAAGTACGTTCTGTCCATTTTTTTCTGTGTTCTGAATTTTGGTAATAATGTTAAGAATGTCAATCTATCTTTTGTTTTCATAGTGATGTCCCTCCCCCATCATCTAATTAGGAATGGACTTGCTAACGCTAATTTATAAAACTTTAATTTACTGAATGTACTATAAGTATGTAATTTTAAATACTTTTTGTTCTGTGAAAGGGGTCCGATCACTAAAAAGTTTGGGAAGCTCTGCCTTATAGTATATAGAGCAATGTGTCAATGCCTAAACTGTTGCAGCCACTGAAGCCCCTGAAATTGTTATCCTAAATCTTCTAGAAGAAATGATCTGATGGCCTAAATTTGAATTTCCCATCAGAACAGACTGATTTTGTAATTCTCTATCCCTTAAACAATACAGCTCTTATATGTATTGGGTCGTAAATTAAGTTCGTAGTTTTTTAAAAAACTAGAAAAAGCTGTGACTCTATGATCTGAGGACCAATTTTATAAGTTTATTTTAATTTTATAGGCCCGAGGACCTAAAAGGCATTTGAAGCGTCTCAACGCGCCCAAATCATGGATGTTAGACAAACTGGGAGGTGTGTTTGCACCCCGTCCCAGCACTGGACCTCACAAGCTGAGGGAGTGCCTGCCCTTAGTTATCTTTTTGAGGAATAGGTTGAAGTATGCCCTCACGAGTGATGAAGTTACGAAAATCGTAATGCAGAGGTTAATCAAGGTCGATGGCAAAGTGCGCACTGATCCCAATTACCCTGCTGGTTTCATGGGTAAATATGCTAATTTTTCTTGGATTAAAGAAACGTAAAACATAATTTAAAAGACTTATATGTTGACTTTCATTACTTTCAGATGTGATCACCATTGAAAAGACTGGCGAATTCTTCAGGCTCATCTATGATGTCAAAGGGCGATACGCCATCCATCGAATAACTGAAGATGAAGCCAAAGTAAGAACCAATTCAAATTATTCATTAGTTCAGTTTGTAATTAGCATACTATTAAAGAAAAAATAGTTGATACTGCATGGCGTTATCGAAGCTTTTGTAAATTTTTTCATATTTATCAAAGTCAACAGAGCGCCAATATTAATTCTCATACAGGCTTAAACAAATCTTCATCCTTGGAGATTTTTGCCTGTTTTGTGGACAACGTTTTTAAACAACAAACAGTTTCCAAGTAAGATCTTTAGATAAAAATAGGAAATATTAATTTTTGGACAATTAATGATAAATTTAAATGTGCATAATGGAAGCCATGCAAATTTTAGATGTTTGCTTCGGCGCCGAAATATGCAGAAAGAAACTGTACAAATCAGCCACAATATTTGTTAGTTCATACTAATATTGTACTTCCCAAGTTGTAGACATTTATTATTAAGAAAATGAAAATAATAAAATAGAAGAGCAGAATGCTACTAATTGCCATTTTTTATAATGCAGCAATCTTTCCTCCCATATCAAAGAAAAATTGCATTAAATATTGAACATAGAAGGTTGTTTAAAATAACCCAATTTTTAATAATATTTGTGTCTCGTTTCATCAATAGATTAGGCCTCATTAATATTATTATTGTCTTATTCATGTTAATATTATTACCTGTAATGTTTAGAAAAAATGATTTAAAAATTAATGACCACAAAGAATTTATGAAGATTAAACTGTTATGCATATTGGAAGCCATGCAAAATGTCATTATTTGCTTCGGCGCCGAAATATGCAGAAAGAAAACGTACAAATCAGCCACGATATTTGTTTGTTCATACGAATATTGTACTTCCCAAGTTGTAGACATACATTATTAAGAAAATGAAAATAATAAAATACAAGAGCGGTGCAGCAATTTTTCCTAAATTATTGATATCTTCAATGTTCGGGGTATACTTGCAGTGGAAACTAAGTTACATTTGAATAGAAATAATAAAGAGGTTTAAATAAACGGAAAGGTTAACTCAACAATTTATGGCCTCTAAGTGATAAAAATTAAATTGGAGTAAAGAAAAAATAAAATGAAATTGGGGATTTTATACATCAGTATAATAAAAATGAAATGAAAATATGCCTCTGAAAGAAATAACTGAATTACCCTTGCAATATTTGGCCAAATTAGAACAGTCGTTCTATTCTCGGGTTCTAGTCGACACCTGAACACTCAGGCCCTTGATTGTCTGGACACTACCACTTTCCCTCTCGAGGAGGTGGTGATTAGGGTTAACTTCCTCACGCTCCTCTACATCGCCGTGACTATCCAAGAGAAATTGCATTAAATATTGAACATAGATGGTTTAAACTAACCCAATTTGTAATATTCTTCGTATCATTTCCACACTAGTTAATGATTGTCTTATTATTCATGTTAATATTACTACCTGTAATGTTTAGAAAAAATGATGTAAAAGTTAATGACCACAAAGTATTTATGAAGATTAAACTGTTATGCATATTGGAAGCCATGCAAAATATCACTATTTGCTTCGGCGCCGAAATATGCAGAAAGAAAACGTACAAACCAGCCACGATATTTGTTAGTTCATACTAATATTGTACTTCCCAAGTTGTAGACATTTATTATTAAGAAAACGAAAATAATAAAATACAAGAGCAGAATGCTACTAATTAAAAATTTTAATTTTTATAATGCAGCAATTTTTCCTCCGCTATCCAAGAGAAATTGCATGAAATATTGAACATAGTTGGTTTAAAATAACCCAATTTTTAATATTCTGTGTGTTTCTACAATAGATTATACTTCATTAATTATTGGCTTATTATTCATTTTAATATTATTATCTGAAATGTTCAGTAAAAATGATTTACAAATTAATGACCTCAAAGTATTTATGAAGATTAAGCTATTATGCATATTGGAAGCCATGCAAAATATTAATATTTGCTTCGGCGCCGAAATATGCAGAAAGAAACAGTACAAACCAGCCACAATATTATTGTTAGTTCATACTAATATTGTACTTCACAAGTTGTAGACAAAGTATTAAATTTTTTCTATGTTGGGGGTGAGGACATATACACATTACATTACAACTCATTACAAAGAGAACAAATGAAATGTCGAATGTAGCTTAATAGCCGAAGTCCCTTATAAGAAAATAGTTGGTAAGAAGAGAAGTCAGTTGCACACAATGTACCACAGAATTAATTATTATTACTGTGAGTTCATCTTCAGGGCTCAAAGAGTTTGTTTTCTGTGTAGATGTGTCGTTATTGAGTCGTGTTGAGAGTGACACTAAACCTACGTTACACCAGACCGCAACTCACAATCTCCAAATAATTATTAATTAATAGTCACTAAACACCACACATTAGTACCACAAAATATTAAGTATATTTTGGTAAGATTTGTGAGGAGCTGGGCGATAATTACTGACATAATTATAGCTAGTATTATAAGCTGAAATAGTTAAGATAAACATGCCTATTGGAAGCCATACAGAGTATCATTATTTGCGTTGGCAGTGAAATATGCAGAAAGAAAATTACAAAATTTGCCACAATATTTAATTCATATTTATATTGTATTTCCCAAGTTGTAGACAATTTAAGCCATTAAAAAAAAAATAAAAAAAAAAAAAAATAAATAAAATAAACATGCCTATTGGAAGCCATGCACAAATCAATATTTGTTTTGGCAGTGCAATATGCATAAAGAAAATTTACAAAATTTGCCACAATATTTAATTCATATTAATATTGTACTTCCCAAGTTGTAGACAATTTAAGCCATAAAAATACATTTTGAAAGAGAAAATAGTTAAAATAAATATACCTATTGGAAGCCGTGTACAATATCAATATTTATTCATGCAGAAAGAACGTGTACAAAACGGCCTCAATATTTGTTATATGAATATGGTAGACAATTTAAACATTAAAAATATATTTTCAGAGAGGATACCATGAATGAATTTCAATATTTATTGAAAGCCATGTAGAATATCGGTATTTCTGATGGCACCGAAGTGCAGAAAGAAAATGTACACAATTTTATATATGTTACTTCCCTTGTTGTAAAAAATGTGAACTTTGAAAAATAATTATAAGGTGTTAAAGAAAAACTTGTTTCACAAATGAATTATTCCAAACATGAAAAGTGAAAGATAAAAATAAAATAAGGGAGTTTGCCTTGAAATAAATCAGAATGCATATTGGAAGCAATGCAAACTATCAATGTTTGTTTCGGTGCCGAAATATGCAAAAAACAAAATTACAAACAGGTCGCAACATTTGTTATATACAAATATTGTACAACCCAGTTTGTAAACAATAAAAAAAACGATCTTAAAAATAGCTGTTTTAAAGTAATTTTTGTGTATAGGAAACCATGCAAACTGTTGTTGATTGTTTAGGTTCTGATGTATACAGAGAACAGTTGTTAACAAATTAAATAAAAACAAATTTAATTATTCAAGTATTGTACAACCCAGTTTGTGCATAATTTAAAAAAAAAAATCAAAAGTATCTTTTTCCCAAAGTTACATTCACATATAGGAAACCATAATTATTTGCTTTTGTGCCAAAATATGCAGAAAACAAAATTACAAATCATCACAACTTTAGTTAATAGTAAAATTATTGATTATTCAGAGATCGTGAGATGCCGTCTGGTGTGACATAAGTTTTAGAAAAACATTTTCTTTATTGTGCCAATGTTTCGATCTTTATTGAGATCATCTTCAGGGCTCAATAAAAATCGAAATGTTGGCACGATTAAGAAAATGTTTTTCTAAAACCTTCTCACGATCTTCGAATAATCATTAACTAACGATCACTAAACACCACACAAAACAATTATTGTAAAACCCAGTTTGTGGACGATTCTTAATCTTGTTTTTTTAGAACAAAAGGTCAATAGGTTTGCCAGTGAATTTTGCACATAGAAAACTGTACAAACTGTTGTAGGTTAGGTGTCGAAATTTGCAAAGAACAAAGGTGCAAACCAAATGGTCACAACTTTCGTTAATAATAAAAGTATTTTACAATCCAGATTGCATATATAATTTTTTATCGTAATGTTCCAAAAAGAACATCAGGTCTCTAGCAGTTTTTGATAGTTAGATTTAATATAACCATTATAAACTGAAATGGTTTTGTAATATAATATTGTTATATATTTGATAAATATTATTTATAATGTATTAAGCAACTATCGAAGCTTTAATGATTACTTAATATCAATTGAAGTCAAATGTTTGCTAAAAACAAATACCTGTTTTAGTTGGACAATAACTGCTATTCAGTCATTTCTAACCTTACTGGGTTACAATTTATTATTATTTAAAAACGAAGTAGGTTTTTTCTTTTCAAATTCTAACAGCCAAAAGTAGTTTTATCTGTTAATTTTGCATATAGGAAACCTTGCAAACAATAGTTTGCTTTGGTGCCGAAATGTGCAAGAAACATTACAAACAAATGGTCACAACTTTGGTTAATAATACAAGTATTATAAAACCCAGTTTGGATACAATTAAACAATAATTATTTTAAAAAATTTAAAAAGAATACTTTTTCCCAACTTACTCTTGTATAAAGGAAACCTGCAAACAGTTTGCTTTGGCGCTGAAATATGCATATAGTATGTTACAAACATAGGTCGCAACATTTGTTATATACAAATATTGCACAACCCAATTTGTAGACGATTATTTAAGAAAAAAAAACCTCTTGAAAATAACTATGTCTAAGTTGTTTTTTTCATATAGAAAATCATGCAAATCATTGTTAACTTTCATGCGTGTGCAACTGTTTTTTCACTCATGGGTGCAAGGTGGTAGGCTACCACCAATTCGTTTTCACCCAGTATGTCATCCTGATCCTTCGAAGTAGTGGTAATTTTGATAGTAACTCTAACATACATGTTTAAACATTGGAAAAATTGATTCAAAATGACAAATTTACAAAACAAAGAATCACAAGAAATACGAGATATCAGAAAATATCAGCCTTTTTGAAGTAAATATGGAGAAGAAAAAAACACAGGAAAAAATGAAACCTGTGAAAGACATAATTCATTATCATCTGAATCTTTTTGATTTAATGAATGTCCACAAGGTTAGAGAAACGTTCTTTAAATGTGATATAACAGAAAATATCAGTCTTTTAGAAGTAAATGTAAAGGGAAAAAACTCAGGAAAAAATGAAACCTGTGAAAGGCATAATTCATTATCATCTGAATCATTTTGATTTGACGAATGTCCTCAGGGTTAGAAAAACGTTCTTTAAGAATCTTCCCAACTTAGTTTTGCATATAGGAAACCATGCAGACATAGTTGTTTGCTTCGGTGCCGAAATATGCAAAAAACAAAATTACAAACAAATGGTCACAACTTTTGTTAATAATACAAGTATTGTACAACCCAGTTTGTGGACAATTAAACAAAAACAATTATTTACAAAAGTCAAAAGAATCATCCCAACTTAGTTTTGCATATAGGAAACCATGCAGACATTCATAGTTGTTTGCTTCGGTGCCGAAATATGCAAACAACAAAATTACAAACAAATGGTCACAACTTAGTTAATAATACAAGTATTGTATAACCCAGTTTGTGGACAATTAAACAAAAACAATTATTTACAAAAGTCAAAAGAATCTTCCCAACTTAATTTTGCATATAGGAAACCATGCAGACATACATAGTTGTTTGCTTCGGTGCCGAAATATGCAAAAAACAAAATTACAAACAAATGGTCACAACTTTGTTAATAATACAAGTACTGTACTACCCAGTTTGTGGACAATTAAACAAAAATAATTATTTACAAAAAGTCTAAAGAATCTCCCCAACTTAATTTTGCATATAGGAAACCATGCAGACATACATAGTTGTTTGCTTCGGTGCCGAAATATGCAAACAACAAAATTACAAAGAAATGGTCACAACCTTGTTAATTATACAAGTATTGTACAACCCAGTTTGTGGACAATTAAACAAAAATAATTATTTACAAACGCCAAAAGAATCATCCCAATTTAGTTTTGCATATAGGAAACCATGCAGACATAGTTGCTCGCTTCGGTGCCGAAATATGCAAAGAACAAAATTACAAACAAATGGTCACAACTTTGTTAATAATACAAGTATTGTATAACCCAGTTTGTGGACAATTAAACAAAAACAATTATTTACAAAAGTCAAAAGAATCTTCCCAACTTAATTTTGCATATAGGAAACCATGCAGACATACATAGTTGTTCGCTTCGGTGCCGAAATATGCAAAGAACAAAATTTCAAAGAAATGGTCACAACTTTGTTAATAATAGAAGTATTGTATAACCCAGTTTGTGGACAATTTTTGATGTTACTTAGAAGAAATGGTCTAAATATTCGAGTTTGCCAGTGAATTTTGCCAATAGAAAACTGCAAACCGTTGTTAATTGGTTAGGTGCCGAAATATGCGGAGAGCAAATAAATGGTCGCAACTTTTGTTAATAATACTATCATTGTTTTAGAAACGACATCAGACTTAGCAGATTTTGATAGTTTATTTTAATTTAACCATTGTAAACAGAAAATAGTTTTTTCATTTAATATAGTTAAATACTTGATAAATATTGCTTATTAGTAGCAACTTTCGAAGCTTTAATGATTACTTAATATTGATTAAAGTCAAATGTTTGCTGAAGACAAAGTACCAGTTAAAATTGTGCAATGACTGCTATCCTAACAGTCGTTTCTAAGCCTACTGGGTTACAATTTATTATTATTTAAAAACGAAGTTGATATTTTCTTTTCTAATTCTAACAGCTAAAAGTAGTTTAAGTAGTAGGTTCACTATTTTTCGTGGTCCGATTGACCAATTATATCATACAATTAGTCATAGCCGAAGATCGTGGGTTCGAATCCCGCTCGTGATACTGACTTTTTTATCTCAACTTGAAACCTTATTTAATTGTAGTTTAATAGTTTTAGTTATTTTTCTATATAGAAATGTAATCCACTCAAAGTAGATCTGTAGTGTGAATGAATATCAGAAGTTAGTCTCAAAGTTTAATGATTATTTAGTATTGATTGAAGTAAATTGTAATTTAATTATTAAAAATAATATAAGGTGTTATTCATATAAAAATGCAAGAATTATTTTAAAAAAATTAGTTAAACATTTTTAAAGGCAAACATCATGGTCACAGAACAGTCTGATTGAATCAGAAAAAAAATTGGCCTATTATTTTTTTTTCTATTGTATTTTTTTTTTTGCTTGCAGTACAAACTGTGCAAGGTCAAAAAAGTGCAGACAGGGCCGAAGGGTATTCCTTTCTTAGTGACTCACGATGGACGTACCATCAGATACCCAGATCCTAATGCAAAGGTCAACGACACTATCCAACTGGACATCGCTACGTCAAAAATTATTGACATTATTCGCATGGATTCTGGTAATTTGAAACATTAACTGAAACACAGAATATAATTTTTCCTTGTGATGATAAAAAATTTGGCACAATTTTGAGGTGACTCGCAGAAGCTTGAGTCCCTGTGAACTCTGTCTTACTCATCTTGAAGAAAACTTTTTAATAAAAAATATATTTGTTGATAATCATTGTTAATGTATAATTTTTAACTGTTAGGAAATATTTGTATGATCACTGGAGGTCGTAACTTGGGTAGAGTAGGGACGGTGGTCAACAGGGAGCGACATCCAGGATCTTTTGATATTGTCCATGTCAAAGATGCCAGCGGTCACATGTTTGCAACCAGGTTTGTTTTTTCAAAATCATAAAAGGTTTTTCTTTCAATTTGTTATATTAACTATTGTTTTTCTCTAGGTTAAACAATGTTTTCATCATTGGCAAAGGTAACAAACCTTATGTTTCTCTTCCAAGAGGAAAGGGTGTGAAGCTTAGTATTGCTGAAGAAAGAGACAAACGACTCGCTATGAAGGCATTGTAATACCTTTGTATTTTCTTTAAATAAAAATATAAAAATTTTATGACTTTAGTTTTGTATTGCCTAATTTTTGACATTTCCAACTTGACTTCCAGACTGACCTGATATCTTGTGTTTTCTTATTAAGAACAGCGAAATATGTAGTTTGTTTGTACATAAAAATTTCAAACTTTATTGGTTTTGACACAAATTTTTTGATAAAAAAAAAATTAATTCTGTACCACATCCTATTTTCCTGTTTATAGATTCCTGATTTTTGATGAGCACATGATTTTTTTTTCATTTGAGTTGAAAAAACCAAATATATAGGGACAAAAAAAAATAAAAAAATTCTTCCCTCCAAGGGCCATATCCACAGTCTTAAAAATGTAACACTCCCATGAATTAAAATATTTTTGGCTTATATTATTTAGGCCAGGGGCGTTGGTGGCTGCAACGGTACCAATATGGGCTTCAAAAACACCAGCACTCAAGGGCTGCTTTATTGGTCAGCAGCATATGACTTCTGCTATTGCGTCCCCAAAACAAGAGAATTCACATGGAAGATTGGGGACGAATTCTCTTAGTAGTTTTAGTGAGAATTTGATGGCCTCAAATCAGATGGACGTAATTTAATATGGAGGCACTCAAGATAAAGGTATGCCACATGCTAATGGTTCCTCGGGTGGCATTACATGATGGGTCTGACGAAACTACTGCACCAAACGCAGCCTTGGGTTAACTATTTCCACGAGGCGAAACAAGGTGGGTCATTAGTTGTGCGAGACAAGCATGCCGTTAATAACTACACAATCTGCTGCATGAGTGTTTGCTATCATGGTGGTACTTTACGTTAAAAAGAAAAACCAAATGAAAATGCCGTTGGTGGATCAAATACTTATTTTGTCGGTGAACCCCATTAGTTTTTATTTTCGCTTTAACAGCATTAACAGTTAGCCTCATTTTGATGCTAATTATCTTAGGAAATATTTGTATGATCAGTGGAGGTCATAACTCAGCGTTGACGGTGGTCAACGGAGCGACATCCAGGATATTTTCATATTGTCCGTGTCAAAGATGCCAGCAGTCACATGTTTGCAACCAGGTTAGTTTTTTAAAATCTTAAATGTTTTGTCTTTCATTTTGTTATTAACTATTGTTTTTTCTCTAGGTTAAACAATATTTTCATCGTTGGCAAAGGTAACAATAACAAACCTTATGTTTCACTTCCAAGAGGAAAAGTGTGAAGCTTAGTATTGCTGAAGAAAGAGACAAAAGACTCGCTCTGAAGGCATTGTAATACCTTTGTATTTTCTTTAAATAAAAATTTTATGACTTTAGTTTTGTACTGCCTAATTTTTGACATTTACAACTTGACTTCCAGACTGACCTGATATCTTGTGTTTTCTTATTAAGAACAGCGAAATATGTAGTTTGTTTGTACATAAAAATTTCAAACTTTATTGGTTTTGACAAATATTTTGACAAAAAAAAAACAAATTAATTCTGTACCACATCCTATTTTTCTTTTTATAGATCCCTAAGATAGTGTCACGAGCGGGATTCGAACCCACGACCTTCGGCTTTATACGCCTCTACTCTACCACTTGAGCTATCGTGACTTTGATCCACTCGGAAACAAACTCCCCATCTTAACCTAACGTTCGAATTATTCCTCCTTTTTGCCTTTCAACAAATGTCGGGTAATCAGGAAAAAAGTCAGTATCATGAGCGGGATTCGAACCCACGACCTTCGGCTACCACTTGAGCTATCATGACTTTGATCCACTCGGACACCAACTCCCATATCAACCGACCTTTCGAATTTTCCCTCCTTTCTTTTTTTATTTCAACAAATACCTTACATAAAGATTAATTAATTGAAAGAAATTATGATACATAATGGTAATTATGTTAGTTATTGTATGGGTTTCAAGATATTTTTTAATTATTGATAAATATTGTGGATTTTTAAACTCTAAATTTAGGTTAATGGGTAGGTGTATTGGCTCAATTAATTAGGGTCACCATATGAAGTTTATATTTACATATACAGGGTGAATTGCTACTCGTGCTACAAACTTCTCCAGTAGATTCTTCACCCTAAAATGAACAAAAAAGTTCATATTGTCCATGGTCCGATTCTCAACCATTTCAGANAAAAAAAAAAAAAAAAAAAAAAAAAAAAAAAAAAAAAAAAAAAAAAAAAAAAAAAAAAAAAAAAAAAAAAAAAAAAAAAAAAAAAAAAAAAAAAAAAAAAAAAAAAAAAAAAAAAAAAAAAAAAAAAAAAAAAAAAAAAAAAAAAAAAAAAAAAAAAAAAAAAAAAAAAAAAAAAAAAAAAAAAAAAAAAAAAAAAAAAAAAAAAAAAAAAAAAAAAAAAAAAAAAAAAAAAAAAAAAAAAAAAAAAAAAAAAAAAAAAAAAAAAAAAAAAAAAAAAAAAAAAAAAAAAAAAAAAAAAAAAAAAAAAAAAAAAAAAAAAAAAAAAAAAAAAAAAAAAAAAAAAAAAAAAAAAAAAAAAAAAAAAAAAAAAAAAAAAAAAAAAAAAAAAAAAAAAAAAAAAAAAAAAAAAAAAAAAAAAAAAAAAAAAAAAAAAAAAAAAAAAAAAAAAAAAAAAAAAAAAAAAAAAAAAAAAAAAAAAAAAAAAAAAAAAAAAAAAAAAAAAAAAAAAAAAAAAAAAAAAAAAAAAAAAAAAAAAAAAAAAAAAAAAAAAAAAAAAAAAAAAAAAAAAAAAAAAAAAAAAAATCCAGGAATCTACGACGAAATCACAAGTTTTGGATCACAGACCTCTTTAATATTTTGAGAAAAATGTTAAAATTGGTGGATAATTCAACAGGTTTCGTTATTTGATCTTGCAACATTTGTTGAAGTTAGCTTTCCAAAAATTTATTCGACAACAAATCACCTCGCCCATTTCTTTCGTTCAACATCACATCTTTCTTGGAGGTGTAGACAAATAAGATTATTATTTAGATAATAAATCTTAAAAAAGACTTGTAAATAAATCTTTTCCTGATATACGTGAGTCGATAAGATGAGAAGGGAAGTCTTACAACAGTCGTGGGAGATTGGCGAATCCATTCCCACCATTATTCTGTTTGCCATGGTCTCATATACGGGCAATCTTTTAATCCATTTAGAGTTAAGTGTTCAAATTCCGGGATGACAAATTGAACAGAACTGTCGGTTGCCATTGTGGATTTGATGGATCGCTACGGTTTGGAAAAGTGCGTTTCTAAACAATTTGTAACTCTCTGGGCAATTCTAGTCCACAATGAATATGCTTTAAGTAAGGTTTTGATTGAGATAAAAAAGTCATTGACACGAGCGGGATTCGAACCCATGACCTTCGGCTAAATACACCACTGCACTTGGTAGCACTTGAGCTAACGTGACTTTGATCCACTATCGTGACATAGACTTTTTTATCTCAACCAATACCTTATATAAAGATTAATTAATTGAAAGATGTTATTTGGTCAATCGGACCATGAAATCTAATGAATTTGTTTTACATTTTTATTTGTTTTTGATTTTTTTTTTCAACCAAACCTATTTTTGGTAGGCAAAATAGAATGAACTTTAAATACATTAAAATTGAAGGATGGTGTGTTTTGTCCATTATTGTTGATACCCACCCATCTGTAGTTACAGGACTATGAAATGCCAAAGAATTTGATTAGATACTTTTGAAAGCAGGGCCATTTCTGCTTGAGACACCTTGTAGAATTATATAGATAGGGGTCTTTTGAATAATTCTATTGGATGATGAGAACATTAATAAATCTTTTAGTAATTAGTTTTTTTATAAATTGAATTTTAAGATCTTTAAAGAGGCTAGGATTGGAGTACTTACAATTGATATACGAACTTTGAACTGAAAGGATTGGAAATGATGTCTCTTGGAAGCAGTTCCCCCACAGTACTTTACTATAATTGTCCAAGTAGGTTGCAGAAGTATTTGATAGATCATTAAAAGGTCCTTTCAATAATAAGGGAAGACAAACACAAATAATTATTTAACACGAACATTTATTTCATGTTGGTATAAACACTTTTGTTAACGCTTTAATGTATATTTTTTTTGACACATCTTTTATGTTAACATTTATATAATTCAGGGTCTGTTCACAATATTTACAGGAAATAAAACAATAGAACAAAAAAAGAAAAAAAAGATCTGATGGTAACTTTTGGTCCTAACAAACCGTCGAAATTATGTGATGTCTAGCATTTGTGATGTTTTCAAAACCTAAAACTCTTGGTCCCAGTTATCTTGGTCGTGTTAAGTGACAGCACTGAGACTTGCCTTTAAGCTCTCAAAGTACATTTTTTTACATAGTGGTAAAAGTTGAGTTTCCAGAGGAAAAGCGCTCTTATAAAATAAAATAAAAATGTAAATTAACAAAGTACATAATTAAATTACATAGTGTACAAAATAATTTTTTGTTAGTCAGCTAGATAGATAGTTCCTTTTTTGTTTTTAAACAAATGTATACAATAATAAACATGTGGTTTTTATATAATTATAATATATAAATTAAAAACTGTAAATACATCTTTTTTTTTACACAAAAACTTCATATGATACAATCAAATATAGAATTGTTTGTTTGTTATACATATAAAAGAAAATGACTAATTTGTGTAATTACTAAAAACTAAAACTACAACATTTAATTTTATAATAGACAGGGAGTTTCAAGGGTTCAATTATACGTCTTATTTTTAACAATCTGAAAACACTTAAACATATTAAGATATATATTTTTTTCCAGAAGGATACACGTAAAAAAAAAAAAAAAAAACTATTATATTTTTGAAACAATAGACAAATTTTGTTTAATAAGTTAACGCTGTGTTGTAATTTTTTCTGTCAATTGTTTACTTATACATGTAGAATTTTTATTATCGTGTCTTCTTAGTATAGCCATCAAATGAAAATTAAATTGATTTACATTAGACAGAAACAATAATTATGTACATTCCCTGAGTTTGAATAACGAATAATGATATTTTTGATTTGACTAGTTGATAAATTTTGAAGACATTCAGAATTTCATCATAACAGAGATATAAAATATATATTTTTATTGATATATATATTTTTTTTTTGGAAAATCCAAATAATTTTTATTTCAAAATTTTCAAAAATAAAAAAATCTGTCGATTTAGATATTTTTTAAAATGTCATCAATATGTACAAAAACACCCTTAAATTAATTAAAATTCACTTCAAACACACTTTTATTTGTTAAATTGAACAATTTTCAATCACCATTATTAACTTTTTTGTTTTATATTAAAATACGATGTAACTTTTTTTGGTATCTAAATGCTCGACAATGAACGTCGCTCAGAGATTTACTGTACAAAAATACATATATAATTCAAATTTCATTAAAATATATCATTCAACATATAGTATATATATCTATATATATTTATATAATTTGTCAATCCTAAAACCAGTGAGTTTGCAACAATAAACAGTGATTTATTAAAAAATATTACTTATAAGCTTATCGATATAACAATATAATTTATTGGATTGGTTTATACAATTTAAAATTTACAAGTACATGCCACCTAGCCAGATAGAGCTTGTTTCAAATTAGGCATGGTGGCTTTTGAAGCTTAATAAATTCAATTTTTAACCCTGTTTACTTGTTTTTAACGTTGCGAATAATGAGTGGGTTTTAGCTTTTCTTGGCTTCACCAATGTCATCCACGCAAAGTGATTTTTTCCTGTATCATACCTTGCTCTCCGGTCCTTCGGCCGTGTGCTTGAACGAGCTGCGGATCTTTGAAAGGTGAAGCGCACAAATCTGTCCGTATGTTTTATTGTACCACTCAGGTGTTCTGCCTCTGTTAAAAATACACAAATTAATAAATACGTTGAAAATTATTGAACGATACAATATAAATTCGATATACTTACTTTGTATCTACCCTTGATAAATGTATTATCCTCGATTTTCCTGAGCCGCAGGGTTCGATTAGATAGCGGGATGCGAGAACGATACCTCGCACCCCACCGGACAAGACCTGACCTTCGCAGTGTTCCACTGACGTCTCGACGATAACACATGCTCCTTTAGCCAGTTCTGTTCTCCAAGATCTAAAAAAAGTTTACCTTCAAAATAGCAGAAATAGTCTGGTCACTAAATAATGTCGGACATTCTTTAGGCTTAATGGGGCATTATATTGTGCGTAAACAGGCACTTGTGGCGATTGCAAGAAGCGCTTGGAGAAGAGTAATTTTATGATGAAAGTTAAAGAAGTTGTTTGTATGAAGTATTATTTTCTCTGTTGCCATTATAAACTAAGAAGACAATGACAAAAGAAGTATTGGGTCCATCCTATTTAACAGATAGATTCACAAATAGTATGCTCATTACTCTTTACTTAAAATTATGTGATTATGAACCAAAATTTTTCAATTATTTTAGAATGCCAATTAACCAATTTATTGCACTTAATTAAGGGCAGTACTTCATCTAGACCTCAGAGTGTGAGCGATTCCATGCGCCTGTAGAAAAACTTGTCATAAAATATCGATAATGTTGACATTGCAGAACAAGAGTGCATTAACTTTTAAAAATACCATTCAATTAATTAAGGTTTTTAGTTGAGATAAAAAAGTCAGTGTCATGAGCAGATTCGAACCCACGACCTTCGGCTTGATATGCCGCTACTCTACCACTTGTGCTATCGTGACTTCAATCCATTCCACCGACCATGATATTAATTGGTCAAGCGGACCACGAAAAACAGAGAATTTAAAAATACATTGGAGAACAAGTTAAAAGCAGCAGATATTAGACAAGTTTAAAAAAAACTTCTGAACTTACATATCATGCTGTAATGCTCAACTGCTCAACAGTAAAACCCCCCAGTTCTCTAAATCACTACAATGGGACTAAATCACTACACATGTGGTGGTTGATGAGATGTAGTCATTTGTGATGGTTGTGACATGTGGGAGGCACAATAAATATAATAATTGTTACACTCCACATTCCACAATGTATGTTTTTTTCAATTTTGTCAATCAGGAGATCAATTGAGGTACATCCCCATCACAATGATGGAAAAAGAAGAATGTACTGGTAAAATGAATGGTGATCTGAACAGACTGGTTTGTATCTCGACTTGGGTGGTGAAATGCACATAGTGCAGGGAATCTTGGATCATGCGTTCATACGTATTTTGGCTTCTTGTGTACTACACCTTAATTTGGGCAGGTTAACTACACACAATTCATCCTGCGATGTGGGACACCATAAATTTGAGGTTGACTTGGAAAGCAAAGAGCATTACAGTTAGGAGTTACTCGGGGAGTTGTGTAAACAGCCACTCTCCATCTGGGACTCAGCAACAGGACTCATGAAGCCAGAGCAAGAAAGAACTGCTGAATAAAGTCGACTGCCGAGGGCCCAGAGAGGTGCAGAAGAGAAACCCAGAAGGGTGCTGGAGATGAGTGAAAGCTGATATTGACGAGCTTCATTTGGTTTTCTTTTTGTTGTTATACTCATCCCAGATTTAGAGTTGCGGCTGAGTTGTCTTAATTGGTTAAAAATTTTGTTGTTTGTACTTGTTTTAAATATGGAATAGTGTTACAATAAATGTTGAAGAATATATCTCTCAGGTTTACTGACTTGTAAAACCCTACCTTCACCTACACAAAAAGTAGCTAAGTGCGTATGCTGAATATTCTCTTATTGCTTAGTGAAAAGCAAAAATAGAGTTGGCGGTGCGTCCTACTTACATTTCTTACAATAAAAAAAATAAAAAAGAATTACCTCAAGACACAATAATCTTTGGAAGGAATTGGAGGTATGCTTGAAGTAAGATACTGGAAGATTTCAGCATTGGGCTCTAGCCTCGTTACGACCCTCCATTTGATCAGCGTTGAGTCCCAGAGCTGTCGCTCGCGCAAAACCCTGTGGAGCAGCTCTGTTGGCGGGGCTTCGACATCTGTGCTCACCCTCCAGAGCCGTAAAGGATGGCCGTCGCCGACTTTTTTATACGATATGTCCACACCCATCCAGCTGCTAGAGTTCACCCAACCTCTACTCCTGTAACATAAAATTCCCTTTAATGCGTTGTTTCTGAGTTCACACTTACAATCGGCTTGTCTCTGAAAGTGTTTTTTAAATATTTTATTTTTTATATCTCATTCTAAACTTGCCGCATTGATTTTTTACGCTTAGGTCCACGAACGTCCAAATACCTATAAATTCATTAAAAATTTATGCCCATGAAATATGTTTTTTTGAAATGATCCTGTCACGTAAACAGTGTGTTTTTGTATTAAATTGTGTGAAACTTGCCGTATTGAATTTTGATACTGATCATCCCCTTTGACCTCCAGATACCTAAAATTTGACAAAAATAAACTCAATTTCTGATGGAAAAGTGTCTATTTACTGGGGCAAATATTGATTCTTGTCACATGAGATATTCTTTCAGGATCTGATTTTTCAGTTGTGTACCAGGACAATTTAATCACTTTTTTAAATAAAAACAATAAACAGTCAATAGATTATAAATAAATTATACATATAGAAAATACAAAGAAAGTATTTGACAGAGCTAAGAAGTAGAAGAAAAGAGTAAATAGCACTACAGAAAGAAAATATATAAAAGATGCAAACATTCAGAAATATTTATAGACATAAAACATTCATAAGTAACAGAAGAAAGCCATGAAACTAAAGTAGAAAAAGCCAGAAAAATAATGCTTAAAATAAAACGCAGTGCATAATAAAGTCTAACACAAAGCGTAAAAATGCGTTTTGTATAATTGAAACAAAAGGTATGTTTAATTAATATGCAAATACCTTTTGTTGTTCTATTATAAATCAATTTAGAAACAAGGATTTTTTAAAACTTAATAATTTTTTTTCCGCAATGTATCCTCTGTGTTTTATATACAGTTACTATCAAGAAAGCTAAAATGTTACTACAAAATTGGGTTGAACATAACCTTGTCCTGAATGGGTTTAAAATACTTATTGCATTCTCTTTGGATTTTTGTTTATTTTGTTTTTTTAAATTTAAATCAACTTGCCGTATCGAGGATCGCCGTGATGCCCTCTTCGACATAGCCCTACAATTGTGAGAAAGTGTTACGTACTTTGTGTTATCTTTGAGCAGAAGTTATATAAGTTATTATACAAAATAAGGAAAAAAGAGTGAAGAGTAAATTTATAATTAATTAAGTACAATGAAATGAGAGTACAAATTTAATAATGACACTGTCATAGTAAATCCCTTTCTATAACTATTTTCACATTCGCCTCAAAATGAATTAGTCAAGCCAATCAAAATCTTCTAGTGTACGATTGCTTAGAGGAGGGAGAAAATAATAAAAAGTATAAAGAACTTATACACATTTGCAAGGCCTACAAGTAGGCTTATTTCTCAACATAATTATTACATTTAAATGAATAACAATGAACTTGAAAACTTTATATGTATAAGGTGAATTTCGAAAAAGTAATTTTCCTGAAGAAAGTGTTATGGACAAATTCAATTTTTAGACTGAAAAAAGTATGCAATGATTTTATGATATGATTTCAATTATATTTTTAGTGAATATTGGTGGAATGCTTACTTTTCTCTAGCTTCCTTTAGAAGAGCAGTCTGACATGCATACAGATAACTTCTCCAATCTTGCTGAACCTCTACTCCCAGCTCTTCTAGGGCAGCAGGAACGCTTTCTTCCATGTAGCTGAAGTGGCATTGTGCCAATAATTCATCACAGACCTAAACAAATTAAAACGCTATAAAAGGAACAGTTATGACAAAGATAAATGTAACTTACATTAAATAATTCCTTATGATTTTTAATAAGAGCAAGAAGGCAATCGTGAGCTGCTTTATTATGGCCGAGCTGCCTAGGGTCAGGGACGCCATTATTTCTTCTTGGAGAGACTGAGGATGATCTGCTTGGCGGGGCTGTCCAATGGAACAAGGAAGGGGCAAGGCATACTGCTAGGTTGCTCGAGTTCATTTGGTTTGTTGGCGCATGAGCTGCAACATCGCTCAGGAATTGTAGCAGGTACTGGAGTGCTTCTCTGTGTTCATCGGGTAACAAAAGAAGTGCACATTGAACAGCCTCTATTCTTAAGGCCACAGGTACATCTGTATAAAGTTTCAATTAGAAACGTTACACTTCAATAATAGTTCAAATAAAAAATAAAAAACACAATTACGTTGGAAGATAGCTATAAAAGTTTCAGAGAGTTTATTCGTCAATAAAGCTTCAGGTAATTCCCGAAAATACTGCTTGACCATATCAGCAACATCGAAGGCCTGTTGACCTTCATAGCTGATTTCATCCCCTTGCGTTTCTGCCATTGACTTGAGTTTTTGTATTCTCGATTTGACTCCAGGCTTTCTGAAGAGGCCGACCTGGTCGAGGGCATTGTTGCGAAGCCAGGTGAGAGCCATCTGGATGCAGGTTGGCAGTGTTTGGCCACTCCTTTGCAGAGAGACGCAAAGAGGGATCCCGAAAACCGTCTTGTCTTTGTAGTCCGGGTTCTTCATTTTCCTCATGAACTTGGGCAGTTCCCAGTTCCAACCGGTTCTGTGAGTTGGGCAGTGCTTCTCCATTATCGACGTTAGCTTCAGCAGTGCCAGCTTTCTCAGAACCAGTAGTTGACCACTTGACATCGAATTCACCGTCTGGCCGATGTACGACTGAGGTCTGACTGTCGTTCTTTGGAAACTATGCCACCTCAACACACCCCTAAAAACAAATCATACAAATAATTGTCTGTTTCAATTTAAATATATTTTATAAATATCAAATTCTTACTTATTTCGCCCTGTGGTGTCACTGTCACTGTCTATTACTATACTACTACTTTCGGGGCTCTCAGCTTCATTTTCTTTGAATATAGTAATTTCTAACGGAAAAAAAATTAGAATGATCAAAAAACCAAATTTAATTTAAATAATTACCAGGAGGTCGTCTAAATGGCCTGGACCTAAAAGTATTACTATCTGGTGTGCTTGTGAGGCTCGTACTTCTTGAAGAAGGGGATAATCTCTCTCTATAACTTCCTCCTCGATGACTATCAAAATCCAAAACCTATTAAAAGGAATATACAATTAAAACAATTTTTTAAATATTGGCACTGATTGTAAATACCTTTGTGTGATTGCTGTTGGCATCTTTGTAGTAATGTTGCCTCCAGGGTACTTCTGAATCGGAAAGTGCTCCACTGTCTGTGTCAGGCCTTGTGAGAAGATGCCTTGAAGATCCTCTTTCGGCCATCGGGCTATCTGGCGGAGACACATCGACGCAGTTCATGTCCCGCATACGCCTTTCCATGGATGCCATGTCAACCACCTGTGGACCGCTGATGGTGACATCTCTTATCGGCCTTTTTCTCCTTCTCGATTTGAGGCTCTCGACTCGTCTTAGGAATGCCTTGGCTCCGTCTCTAAGTCTCTCGCTCCCACTGCGTCTGAACTTAGCAGCAAGAAGTTCGCTGTCCGGACTCAAAGCCCCTGGAGGCAAGCTGCCAAATCGTATAACCGGAATTTCTTTTCCTGCTTGCTTGTTCTCGGCTTCTTTACCTTTAATAAAATATTATTAATATTGAGAGTTTAAAATATTAAAATGGGGTTTAAATTTCTTACTGGCTGCTTGAAGGGCTTGCAGTTTTTGCGGGGTAACTTCAGTGACTCTAGACCATCTTCTGATCTCAGGTTGAAAAGTCCAGTTCTCGCTAAGAGCACACTGGTCCTCTTCATCTGAGTCATCCGCTCTCTTTAAAAAAAAAAAAAAAAAGAAGAAGCTTTTTTTAGTCCTTATAAATTTTCTTTATAAAACAACAAAAATTCAAGAGCGCGAAAGAATCTCATAGATGACAAAATAATTTCAAAAAATCTGGATTAACGTATTTGCTAAATTGGGTCAGGATGAATAAAACAGAAACCGTTTTCACAAGTGAGGAGGAGGGATATTAACGAGTCCTTCTAAAGGTTCTTCTCCTTTTTGGTCTGTGTCGCCCTGTTTGGAAGTGGTATCTTGCATCACGTTTATATAACACATTAACGCACTTTTGTGCTTTTGCTCTTCTGCCTTCGGTCGAATAAAATTGATCGAGTTGATTTTCACACTGATGGTTTTTTTCTTTCAAAAACATACAATGTGTATAAATTAGAAAGTACCTAAAAGAAAAAATTGTAAGATATTTTGAAACAAGGAATACAAGTTGTTCGTTTTTAAAAGATCCAAAATGTATAGCGGACGGATTACGGATTATGTTAAAGGTTTAGTTGTGAAATGGTAAACAAAAATTAGATAGACGTCGAGCTGAGAGGTCGTACATCACGAACTTTCCATAAGCCAGGATCATGGATGACAAATGCAGAACTGAGAACGGACATCTTGAAAAGTAGGATTTTATAAGGCCTTGTTTTGATATTACACTGATACTTATAAATAAAACGGAAAGTAAATCCTCTTTAGCATATTGACATTATTCAGAATCATTTCACTAATGTGAAGAAGAGAATGTATTCCCAGGAGGGGATGCCTCGAGGGATTACAGGGATAAAGGACATTTCAGCCACGGTGGGTTATGATTTTTGCAGAAGACCGTGATTATACAACATCTGTATCTGAAAGAAGGATTTCTTATTATAGGAGAAGCTGAGATCGCGTCTCTTCGAGTGGAAACAATTTTAGTGGCCTATAAAGGAGTCGAGAGTTCCTTTTTAACATCCCAGCATTCGGCCAGCAACAAATTGTTTATAGCCTCTATCCCCAGAGCCGATCTACGTGTCTTTAAAAGGAGAATGGGATAAACTACTACTTTAAAAGATAGTTCTTACAGTTCGTTGTTTTCGAACGAACCGGATTTCAAGCATTAAACGCTCATCATCAGGTTGAAGGAGTTACAAATTATAGGGTATTACAATTCATGCCAACAGAGTTTGTACCAGTGAAACAAAAAAACTACTTTTTAAGTATATTTCCATATATAGATATTTATTTATAATTAATTAATCTTTATGTAAGGTATTGGTTGGAATGAAAAAGCCAGTGTCACGAGCGGGATTCGAACCCACGACCTTCGGCTAAAACGCCTCTACCACTTGAGCTATCGTGACTTCGATCCACTCGGATACCAACTCCCCATCAAAACCCAACCTTTCGAATTTTCCCCCCTTTTTGCCATTTTTCAAATATCGTGTAATCAGGATTCGATTTTCGGCGACATATGAAGTGGCCAAAGGGAGGTGTTAGTGAAGTTATACTTCGTTTTATTAAAGATGAGCTGTATCGACCTGCTGTTGAACAACTTGGAAAAAAGGATCTTCTGTTGTGACCTCATCGAAGATCCTTTTTACTTAATAAATCCATTATATTTCGGGGTTCGATTGACCAAATTACTTCACTGACCCGTGGCCACTTCAAGTCTGCGAGAATCGAGTTGGTATGGGGAGTTGGTATCCGAGTGGATCGAAGTCACGATAGCTCAAGTGGTACAGGCGTTTTAGCCGAAGGCCGTGGGTTCGAATCCCGCTCGTGACACTAACTTTTTCATTTCAACCTAAACCTTACATAAAAAGATTAAGTAATTGAAAGAAGTAATTTACCAATATACCACTATATACCACTAAATATAATGGATTTAATAAGTAAAACGAAGTATATCTTCACTAAAACTCTCCGTAGTCATTTCGTATGTCGCTGAGAATCGAATCCTGAATTCACGGCATTTGAAAAATGGCAAAAAGGAGGGAAAATTCGAAAGGCCATAGGTTGAGATGGGGAGTTGATGTCCGAGTGGATCGAAGTCACAATAGGTGAAGTGGTTGGAGCAGCGGCGTCCGAGCCGAAGGTCGTGGGTTCGAATACCGCTCATAACACTGGCTTTTTCATTTCAAACAATACCTTACATAAAGATTAATTAATTGAAAGAAGTTGTTTGGTCAATCGGACAACGGAATATAATGGATTTATTTTTATTTTCTCTGGCCGCTGGTAAAATAATCCATCCAGCCGAAAGGTGTTTAATCAATCAATAGTATAAATAATATAATGAATCAGTAGTTCATAATCATTAACCATTGGTTATTTAACAAAAAATTAATCCGGAAGAGGCTCTGTTCAGAACGGAAGTGTAAACTATGTGAAATCGGTTAGCCTAGCAGATGCAATTAATAAGGACAAAGGGCGAGTCGGGAGGATAATTAAACCTGTGGATTATTCGGAGCGAGGGAATCCCGAACAATCGAGACCCCATTTTCAAAGGTGGCAAGGCCTAGGGGCCCATCTATCCATTACTACTCCGATAACCCTGATCAGAAGTGGGCCGAAGCCCGGTCGAAAACCCACATCAGCCGAAAGCTTTATCTCGCACGTTTCTTCGAGTTTCTTCGACTCCCGTGACCGGTCAAGGATGTTCGACACAGGACCCATTGTCTTCGGGGTCCCCTTCATCGGTGTACGAATTCAACGCCCAATCAATCTCAACACGTCGAAAACAATGGCCCATCTAACATTAGTGTCATCGCGATATATTTATTGGGCCGTTCACTATTCGTGGCCGACATCACTGCGGATTCCGTTCTACGAGGTACATCAATCATCAAACCGTGAGGTCAACAGAATATAGATTGTCACGGTTGGTTAGTTGGCCCGCGAACCGATGAAAATGCCAGACGTCACTCGTCATTGGAAGTCACAGCCTGACAACTAACAAACAAGAAACCAGGCGGACCCAAATATTCTCAGTGATTACTTGACACAACTATTTCTAATATAGAACACCATTATTGAATTTCATTCAAAACTCACACGTATACCATGCTACTTTTGCCATGGAAATCTGCTGGCACTAGTAATTTTATCAGGTGCCACAGTTTCTATAATGACGGCGATGGGTGTTTCTGATTTTCTGCGATATAAAGGTGTCGAGGCAATGAGCTACCTAATGCTTTATTTTGGCTGACTATGTAGCACGCTTTAGTCTAATTACGTCGTGCAGTTTCAAGTTGTTAATTTTCAAGTCAACCATCAAATTTACACACAGTTTACATGTTTGAGTGTTTAAAAACACAAGTGGCAAAGTTTGACAATAAAAAGGAACCACTTTAGTTTCACTTTGCTTTCGACATTCTTCATCATTCTTAAGGAATAAAAACGTTGACGATTTAGAGATAACAATGACAATGATTTTGTTGACATTCAGTTCATTTACAGGTTCTTTTCAGATGGCCCGGCTGAATTTCTCTTGAACCAATGACGCTATCATAAGAACAAAAATACGCGTTTAATATTTTTTAGTCTAGTTTGAAATTTTTATCTTTTTTGGAGAAAAATTGTACAGGGTACCTCAGGTTCAACTCCAAAATTTCAATTACGATCTTAAACATCCTGATAGATAATTTTAAAGGAATTTTTGCGCTGAAAAACAATGGTGCAATTGGTTTTTAAATTGGTCAAAAAATGACTTGGCAAAAAGAAACCGGCAGCTTAAATAAATTAATTCGACAAGGAGCTGAATATTTTACTGTATGTTCGTGAAAATCCGAATTCCTCTTTCCGAAATGTTGCAAGGGTTTTAGGTTTTTCAAAAAATAAAATTAGAGGTGTGCTCTGGACTTACAATTTGAAGCCTTATCGCTCTCATTTTGTCCAGGGATTTCGGGATTTTTATTTTTTATTTTTATGAGGGTTCGCAACAGCAGAGGTTATATCAACCCTCGGGGTGCCGGTGTTTTTGAAAAAAGCCCATTTGTAAGTATGTCGGGTTCGAATGCAGGGCCGCTGGATTCGAATAAATAGCAAACCAAATGACTGTTTTTCTCCAAACTTTTTGCCGCTTTGTCATTTTTTGACCAATTTAAGATTCGTCTTTACCATTGCTTTCAGCGTAAAACATCCTTTAAAATGATATGTCAGGATTTATAGGGTCGTATGTGAAGTTTTGAAGTTGAACTGGGCCTGAGGTACCCTGTATAATTTTTCTTCCCAAAAAAATATGGCGAGTTCTCCTCTATTCATTGACAGTCTCCGGTCCGTGCGTTCTCGCTGTAGATCTGTCAGAATCATGTCATTTAGCCTGTTTCTTTTTTACCTTCTTATGGTATATATAATATCCACCAGCTTCCTCTGAGCACGGCAGAGAAGGTGACCTTACTGTCTCGAACTTTCTGAGCTTTCTCGGATATCTATTAAAACGGCCATAAAAATCTGAGTTACGGCTGGGCTCGACCAAGGTGGTAGATAAAAGAACGTTGTCTAACGCCGTTTCGGCAAGTCTAATTTGCAAATAAAACCATACCCGGTGATTTATGTTCGGGAGTGCTAAAAGCTACAATTATACACGAGGGGATGATTCACGGCCACGGCTGACAGCGGGACATATGAGCTTTTCAAGCTCCTCATTTGTTTACATCTCTACTAATTGATGAAGGATAAACCGTCCCTAATAATTTAACACTCGGTTATTTCAATTGAACTATTTTTCTGTGTGTTTTCAACGGTAGATAGATTTCGGACGTTAGGCGAGTGGGATATCGAACAGAACTGGGCCAAATGGTGATAACGATGCTAATTTTACAGTCAGACTATTTTCTATAGCAGAAAGAACTTTAGTTAATATGAAACTTAAAAGGAAACAACTTTAAATAGATTTAATTATGTAGTACTCCAAAAAACCATAAACTATATAAGACATTAATTTTAACAATTTAAGTTTTTAAAGAACCCCTCTTTGATACGTTGTGCAAATATTTAAGCTCCACCTCTTA